TATATATATATATAATTTTCTTAAAATATTGTTCGCATACATGTATAAGAAAAATTTTCTGCAAACCGGTGTATGATGACACTCCTTAGTAGATGATGTTTCTGCCACTGTATGTAACAAACGTTCATTTATGCTTGTATTAGGGTAGGTCGCCTATATCATATTTTTTAAGGGTGGTCCTTTTCTAATCCTGCGTGAACACGAAATACTTTGTACTTTGTGCAGCCCTTCTATACTCTTCTTCCTTGTGCATTTTTAATGCAACTATGATAATATCACTAATCTAATTTCTAGTAAATTTTACTCCTTTCATCCGTTTTTATTTGCATGTTTAAGATTATGGTACACCTATTAAGAAAATCGTTTAAAAGTGTCAATCATAAATGATATTTGACTAACTTATCATTATCTCTTCGTAGATTTAATTGCATTAGTTATAAATGGTATTTTACTAAATTACCATTATCTCTTTCTTATATGAGTAATTAATGATATATGCACTCTTAAAATAGTAAAATTGGATTTGGAAAAAAATAATAATTAATGCTTCTTGATTTTCTAAAGTATAATTTACCAAAAATTAGAGACCAAGTCTATAAAATTTTGTAAAAATCCCTCCAATGGTTATTACTCATTTTGTGGATAGATAAACTTTAGTCAAATTAAATTATCCTTATCAGTTATCATTAACGCTAAGAGGTAGTACTTTATCCAAAAACGAGAAATTCATTTTCAGCCTATCAAAAAGGATTTTCACTAACCTTATAGTTCTTCATCAGTTACTGTGGCTGATTACATTATAAAGTTTCTTTATTTTCAATTTTACAATGCCATTTCCCAATCCACAAATTGACTAATTTTTTAATGATATTGAGATTTTCATGCGGCATACATATGACTGCAACCCCCTCCCCCCACCCCCTCACCCAACCAACCAGTGGCGGAGGAAGGATTTTTGCTAAGGAGGTTCAAAAATTAAAAAATTAAAAAATTAAAAGAAATTGTGGCCCATAAGAAGTGGCCTCACAAAGGTTTTGAACACCCTTGACCACTAAACTATGATTTAGAGTTGTGTCAAGGGGATTCAAAACATAATATATAGAGACAAAAAATATATTTTGCCTTATATATACAGTGTAATTTTTCGGCGAAGGGGTTCGGGTGAACACCCTTTCGCCGCTCTAAATCCGCCCTTGCCCCAACCCCAATGGCGGCACCACATGCGGTCAAGGGGTGATACCCCATTATTGAAAAGAGTACACTGTGTAGCTAGGTAAAATGTATTATTTATGTATATACATTATATATTGACACCCCTTAGCATCTTCGTCAGTTTACTTCTTTATATTTTGGTCTCCGTTAGGGGTCGTTTGCTACAGTGGGGGTATTCCATAGGGTGGTATATCCCACGGGATTAGTTATCCTCACCTTCTATATAGGATAACTAATTCCTCCATTTTAATCTAAAAGTTATCCCGAGATTAGCTAATACCCCAAATCAAATATGGGATAAAGTTAATCCTAAACTTTATCCGGGATTATTATTCTTATCCCATGTACCAAACGACCGCGGAAAACAATGAATGTTCTTATATTGCAGATTATAAATGAATAAATGAATTGGATCAGAACTAATTGAAAGAAGGGAAATTAACATTTTATCAGTCTTCTTGTCTTTTTTACCTTAAATATTTCTCGTTTGAAACGCAATAATCGTAAGAGTTTCTGCTACTTGAACTCACATTGTGGGGCTTGCATGAGTTGGTTCCCATAACTAGCTTCAACACCAAATAGGAGTAATTGATTTCTCTGTTTTAATGCTGAAAAAGACAAATAATCTTTTTGTATTTCCTAGATTTCTGTTTCTGCTCTGTGACAGTGAAATTTACTTCTCAAAATTTCAAACTATGTGCTTTTAGCTGCATATTTGCATTAGATACAGATAGTGAGACAAGGAAATAGTGAGAGAAGGAAGAGAATTCAGAATTTGAAATTTATGTGTTTCTATAGCGACCTCGTGTTAATATACGAGGTTTACACTCAAATATTTATATATATTTTAATGGATTTCTTAGTACAAGATCAGGGCAAAAGCTAGTGGGTTCGTGTGAACCCATAACGTCTAAGCCAGGTCCGCCCTTGTTGACAGATACTTTTTGATCTTAACATCATTCTGATTGTGTCATTTTATTAATAGCTAAATAAACTATAAAAAATAAGCTTTTCCTTTTAAATTTTAATATTCGATTTGATCCTTAATGGAAATTGAGGAATTGAGTAAAGTTGTCTTCGTATAGGTCACGAATTTGAACCGTGGAATCAACAACTGATGCTTGCATTAGGGTAAATTGTATACATCATACCCCGCTTGAGATGCGACCCTTTCATGAACTTTGTGTGAATGCCAGATACTTCCTGCACTAGGCTAACCTTTTTATAATCTTGCATAAAATATTTATAGCAACTCACTAAGTTCAGTGATTTGTTTCCATGTTTGTTCTTTTATGAGATTGATCTGAATATTCTATTTAATAATTTCTTGTTATACAAATTTTTCAATTGCATTGAAATGTTTTTACTAATCATTTTCAATTTGCTCCTTTTTATGGTCTTGGCTCGGATGCTCCCAAACAACAAACATTAGATCCCAACGGTGAGATTAAGTTTCATAATTACTGTTTTTTACTAAATTTGAGCTAAAATCATATATCATTTACATTAATCTGGTTTTCTTTTTTCCAACAGGTCCAATGTATTACAATGGAGTCTATCATCTATTTTATCAGTACAATCCAAAAGGGGCCGTATGGGGCAACATTGTTTGGGCCCATTCAGTTTCCAGAGACTTGATTAATTGGGCCCGCTTAGAGCCCGCAATCTACCCATCCAAAGTGTTCGACAAATACGGTACGTGGTCCGGGTCAGCCACTATTCTACCTGGAAAAAAGCCCAAGCCCATTATCCTCTACACTGGAATAGTAGATGCCAAAAATACCCAAGTCCAAAACTACGCGATACCAGCTAACTTATCCGATCCACTTCTTCGTAAATGGATCAAGCCCGATAACAACCCGTTAATTTTTGCTGACAAGAGCATCAACAAAACCCAATTCCGCGACCCGACAACGGCTTGGTTGGGCCGAGACGGGCATTGGAGAATTTTGGTTGGTAGTGTTAGAAAACATAGAGGAAAAGCAATATTGTATAGGAGTAAGGACTTTATGAAATGGACTAAAGCCCAACATCCACTTCATACATCAGCCAATACTGGAAATTGGGAGTGTCCTGATTTTTTTCCAGTGTCATTGGAACATTCAAATGGTTTGGACACATCATTTGATGGTGACAACATTAAACATGTTCTTAAAGTTAGTCTTGATTTGACTAGGTTTGAGTACTACACAGTCGGTATCTATGACACAAAAAAAGATAGGTATATTCCGGACAATACATCAATCGATGGATGGAAAGGATTGAGACTCGACTATGGTAATTTTTATGCATCCAAAACGTTCTATGACCCTAGCAAAAATCGAAGAATTTTGTGGGGTTGGGCTAATGAATCGGATGCTTTCCCTATTGATGATATCAAGAAAGGATGGGCTGGAATTCAGGCTATTCCGCGTAAAATATGGCTTGATCCTAATGGCAAACAGTTGGTTCAATGGCCGGTTGAAGAATTAAAAACCTTGAGAAAGAATAAGGTGCAACTAAGAAATCAGAAATTGAACAAGGGAGAAAAGATTGAAGTTAAAGGAATCACACCTGCACAGGTTTGAACTTTTTTTTTTGTTAGTACCAAATAAATTTATCTTTTTCATTTAATTATGAAATTAGTGTGACAAGAAAGGGGGCCTTGGTATAATCGGTGAAGTTGTTGCCATGTGACCAGGAAGTCACAGGCTCTAAGTTGTGGAAACAACCTCTTGCAGAAATGCTTAAGTTGCGTACAATAGACCCTTGTGGTCCGGCACTTCCTCGGACCCCACACATAGCAAAAGCTTAGTGCACCGGTCTGCTCTTTTAGTGTGACAGGACAAAGTTAAGTCTAATTTTGTGAGTGTTAATCTAATTGCAGGCTGATGTTGAAGTGACATTTACCTTTTCAAGTTTGGACAATGTAGAAGAATTTGATTCTAGTTGGGATGATCTTTATGCACAAGATGTATGTGCTATTAGAGGTTCAACTGTTCAAGGTAGACTTGGGCCATTTGGGCTTCTAACTTTGTCTTCTGAAAATTTGGAAGAGTATACACCTGTTTTCTTTAGAGTGTTCAAAGCTCAAGATAAATACAAAGTTCTCATGTGTTCTGATGCCTCAAGGTTTGTTTTCTTACCCTTTAGACATATTTTTTTTTACTATATATTTAGTAGGATAAGGCTGCGTACAATAGACCTTTGTAGTCTAGCCCTTCCTTAGACCCCGCATAGCTAAAGCTCAGTGCACCGGGCTATCCTTTTTATATATTTAGTAGATATTTAGTGGATATACATGATCTAAGCCGAAGCTATTGGACTCCGTCGTGCATTTGCCCTAGTTGTCTTTATGCTTTTACAATTGGCTAACCTTTTTATTCTATTTTTTCTTCCCTTTTTGGTGACAGGTCAACCCTTAAGGATAGTAAGAAAATGTACAAGCCCTCCTTTGCTGGATATGTTGATGTAGATTTATCAGACAAAAAACTGTCTCTAAGGAGTTTGGTAAGCTTTCTTTTATTCTTTTTCCTCAAAATGGTATTTAAAACTCAAATTCTCTCTTTGCGTTGAGCCTTTAAACTTGTCTATCATGGGTACGAACTGTTGAGTTGTTTCCCACATCGGTGGGTTATGGGTATCTTGGTCTCCTTATATGGTCTTGGGCAGTCCTCACCTCACAAGCTAGCTTTTGGGGTTGAGTTAGGCTTAGGTCCATATCTTATCATGGTATCAGAGCCAGACCCATCCCAATTTATTGTTACCGATGTTAGGCCCCCATTTTATATTGTCCACGCTCCAGTTGCAGGCCTGGGCGTGAGGGGGGGGGGGGGGGTTGAGTTGTATCCCATATCNTGGGGGGGGGGGGGGGTGTTGAGTTGTTTCCCACATCGGTGGGTTATGAGTATCTTGGTCTCCTTATATGGTTTTGGGCAGTCCTCACCTCACAAGCTAGCTTTTGGGGTTTGAGTTAGGCCCAGGTCCATATCTTATCACGAACCTTGTAAGCAGCCACCAGTACTTGTATAAGGGTATATTGTCTACATCACACTCCTTGAGTGCGGTTCTTCCCTGGATGGCTGCCGTGCACTTTTGTTTGTGTGGCGTTGACAAACTTGTTGACTTTATTTTTTCTTTTCCAGATTGATCACTCGGTTGTAGAAAGTTTTGGTGCTGGTGGGAAAGCATGCATTACATCAAGGGTATATCCAACATTAGCCATCCATGACAAAGCACATTTATTTGCTTTCAACAATGGCACTGAAACAATCACAATTGAGACTCTTGATGCCTGGAGCATGGCTAAATCTAAGAGATATTGAATTAAAATGTTGAGGAAGCTGAAAGGAGAAAAAAATTATAATTGATCTTCACTTTTCTGTTTTTTTAGTTTTATTGGCCTCTTTCGTTTTGGAAAGAACTTGTACAGATTTACTACTTCCTGTTAATCAGGAATAGTTTCATGATAATACAACGGAATAATCTTTTTATTAAAAAATGGATGATCTTTCGTTGCTTATTTCGTATCAAAATACAAATGTTTTCTTATTCCTTGTGTATCTGAGGTGCAGACAAATAAGGAACGTGTTCCTTGTGTATCAAAAGACACAAAAATTTACTTATTTCTTGCGTATCAAAGATATAAAAGTTGCCCGACTGGGTTTCACTAGCAGCCTCCTCAATCAAAGCTTGTTGTACCCGAAGAATAACGGCTGCAAGTTTCCTGTAATTTTTTCCAACAAAAAGATAGTCTTACAGAAATAACCACTTTCAATAGCGGGCTTTGGCACAGTGAATATATTTTAACCGCTATTTAAATAGGTCTTACAGAAAGTGGTTATTTCTCGAATTTTTAAACAGTGAATATATTTTAAACAACATGCTTACAAGTGGCTACCTGATTTCATTTCGCCAAACTTTCAGCTAATATTTTGTTATTAGATGCACACAATGTAATCCCAGACCCCACTTATTGAATTTCACTTAATTTATTGTTGTTTGATGGTACACGATGTAAACGCCATATAAATTATGTTAGTTTTTTATTTTTTATTTTATATAAGGTATAAACTGGGTTAGTATTCACGTAACATTACATAAATTATCGAAAAAGTTTGATATAGTCAGAAGTTGGTGCACTTTTCTTTTGTTGCAACATATCTACTTGATTCAACTACTCCTTTATGTGACAAAAATTAGTTTTATTTTTAAGGTAAAACAATTTTAACAATTGTATGTGATAGATATATTCTTAGATTAATTGTAAGTCGAATCATAAGTAGATATTATTAACGAAGTAATCCAAAGAAAGGCTGGATTTTTCTCTCTATGAAGGACATTTTTCATTATTTGGTTCGACTATTAAGCAAATAATCAGAAAATAAAATACACCAAACTGACGAAATTTTTTAAAAGGTTGCCTATGTTTGTCAAGTACTATGGGACCCAAAAGGGTTGCCTGTTTATAACAAGAACAGTTTGTGAACACAAAGTGTTGGTTGTGTGGCATTTTGAGTTCCACAAACTCCACTTGTCAAACATAGACAACCCCGCACAATTTGTGTCAGTTGTGTGAGTCACAAAGTAAAGTTTCTCCACCAACCTGTGTTTTCATGTATCAACATCCTACTGGATAATCCAAAATAGCCCTACAGTACCCCTTCCTATTGCACAACATGCATTTTGCTCTCTTTTTCAGACTCCGAAGAATAATCCTCCATTTCTTGAACACCCTTCCCCATAGTCGAGCATATCAGACATCATACTCTCCTTCCTCATATCACGTATATCTGTTTCTAAATGCACCCGAGGTGAACCGAATCTGCCATACTTATCAAAAATCAACAGGAACACAGCAACTGCAAAATCAGTGCAGCTTGGACAGAGATGCAAATAGGCTGAACAGCAGCATTATACCATCCATTTGCCATGTAGACCAATTTGAAGGTTCCTTGCCACGAGTAATTCACCCAATCAACGGTGCATCAACTCCTAGTTTCCTTCTGAGATATTCAACAGATATAAGGAATCACCAACTTAGCAACGGAGATTATAAATACAGTAATCTAGCAATCAGAACCAATGGGCTATCAAATTGATAGTCAACACCAATAACAACCAAAAAGTAAAAGACAAGGGTGAAGGCCGGAGAAAATAAAAAAATCACCCTCATGAACAAACAAGCCAACTCGCTACACTTTCTTAGTAAGTGGATGACTAAAACACCACTGCATTTTCTCCAGATTACCTATATAGTACCATTAAAAGATATATGCTGATATCTCGAGATCAGTACATGCTCTCACCATCCCTTCCATAGCAATATTTTTCTCCACTTTGCTTTTGTATCATTCTAAAACAAAGTTGACAATCTGGAAAAGCCACTCCTATATCCACGTAGCTTTTGTATCCCTCTAAAACAAAGATGCTCTCACCATCCCCACCCCAGCATTCTTGCAATCCCAACTCAAGTAACAAACATTTACCATTCCTAAAAAACAACAACTCAAATTGCATGGAAAAAGTAGAAAGGTTTAGAAATTTACACTTGATGATGTTCTTAATCTTTTTCTCATGGCCTGTTCAGCAATCGGTGTGACTGCTAAGTTAAAATCTCGCAAGGGGTGATATTCTACTGAAGCCAGCTTTTCCTTTGCTGCTTGCATTCTCCTTTTTTCAACTCTCTGCAATAATACAAAGGAAAAGATTATAATGCAGTTCATCAATTAGATGAATGATACATTGTTCTCCATAAAATAGACGTAAACTTACAAGGGCCTTCTCAAACCCTTCAACTTGCTGTTTGCAAAGCTTGAGCTCCATCTCAATTGCATGGATACGGCTGTTAACAGGTACATTGCATTGCTCAACTATCTGCTTTTGCTTACCCCGGACAATCTCCGGCTGCCAAACATTTAGTGCAACTGAGGCTTGCCTGATAGAAGCAAATCAATACCAAAGTCAAACATCAGCTGAGTTATTTTACATTTTTCTTTGACTAACAAAGAATAACGAAGCTTCTACAAACAAACACGCAAACAAGATCGTACTGCTCTTGTATAAAACATTATTCTCTGCACAAACTGGAATCCCATAAACATGTAATTTTTTTCTTTTTTGTCAGGCTACCATACACATGTAGTTTATCATCTCCTAATTGTATTTTTGTTTATGAAGTTTTCAAACGCGAGGAACCAGCTGTTTTGTTAAAGCAAGACCCCACCCCAAGTATTGTAAGCAAAATTGCAGAAACAAAAACAATAAATAACATCATACGAGTAGCCTTCTGTCCACTACCTGATTTTACGCAAATTTAAAAACTCAGCAGCAGTGTTCTTCATCTTCTCTTTCTCCTCTGCAGATCGAAGTTCCGTCTCCCGAATCCTCCTAGAATGCTCATCAATTTCACTCTGAATTCTTAAAACGGCCCTTCTATGGGCCAAAACCTTCTGTTCTCGGACTTTTTCATATCTAGTTGATGTCAACAACCAATTAATGAACTCCCATCAAAAGATTTTCTAGAGAAGGTAACATTAACAGGAAGAAGAGATGACATGGCTGAGAATAGAAGACATATAAGGGTAAAAACTTACCTGCACCTAGTGTTTACACAAACCAATGAATACATGACACGTGTCTTCACTTATCACTAAACAATAGTAAATGAATACAATTGTCACCTTAAGTTATGACCTAATCATGGTAAATTAGTATGATTTGGTGTAAACGCGGGTGCGGGTAAGCTTTTAGCGGCATACAAGTGTGGTGTCTTTGTGACTTCTGGCCATCACAGAATATTTGGATATACATATCATTTGCAAATACTGACATATTACGTGTAAATCAATGTTTCTTTTTCAAGTGAAATATAGTGGCTTGCACACACAAAGTTTAAATTTTTTTTCCAAGTGAAATTCATGTTCAAACTCAATTTTAACTTTCAAATACTCGTTTTTTTCAACTTCAATCAAATATTATTTTCAGTTGTGGGGTGAGGGGCAGGGGGATGGGTAACGAATTGTGTACAATAGATTAGATGGATTATTTGGCAGTTTGCATAAATCCTAATATTTGGGAAAGCTGAGTGCAAAATTAAGAATTTATATGATGTAGATACACTAAAAAGCACACACATACACGAGTATAAATAAAATTTGAGTACTGGATATATACCTTATTTTGTAGAGCGATTTATTGGATACAGAAGAAGACGAATGATGTTGCTTAATAGGATATTGGGGAAAATCGGCGGAGAATAAAGAGGACCAAAGAGAATCGTCGGAGGAGAGTCGGTTGAGACGTCTGCAAGTTATGGATAGGCAGCAAAGATCTTTGTAGTTGAAGTTGTAGAATTCAATTCCGATTTCAAGGATTCGTCTCCATAGCTCGTCCGGCAAAGCTGATGCCGACATTTTCTGCAACCCGACCCTAATTGTTTCGGTCTGCTCAATTCGGGCCTTATTCAAATCTACCTAAATTTTAACAAGAGAAACACAAATATAAAAGAGATCCTTATTTGGTTAACACATCTTCTTTACTTTATAACACCGGGCAAGTTCATCTTCCAAATAGGATAAGTTCTCTTTCCTTGGAAGACAAGTTGTCCCATTTCAAATAGTTAAGGATATTTTGGCCTTTTTTACTTTTGAAATAAAAAACCTCCGCGACTTCATATGTTAGTTGATTAATTTTCTTAAGAAATTAGTGTTATGAGATTTTGTGGAGAACCAATGGCTTGAACATGTAATTTATAGGTTATATGAAGATAATTTTACTGTTGCTTCCATTTAGGCTATGTGGTGGCAAGCCTGACATAAATTTATGTACATTGAGTCATGACCAAATTTTAGTTCGATGAAGCTTTTTGGTTCTCCTTGAATACCCTTAGATATAGGATAAAGTACCACTAAATTCCATCTCTAATAGCATACTCGAGCACCCTAAGTCCAACCCAAAATCTAAAATCTTCTCATTTTCAAGGTCGAAAGTTAAGAGTTTTATACTAGAACTTATTTAAAATTTTAATGGAAAAAGAGATTATGAACCAAAATGATTATTAAAAGGAATTTTTACCTCTTATAGAAAAGGTTCATACCTTATTTATTTTAAATAAATTCCTTTTAAAAAATTATATTTCATAGCTACCTTTTGATTTTTATAGCCAAATATCTATTTATGGTCACCTCCTACTCTTAAGCCATAAAATACGCATTGTCTTATTTTCTCTCTTATTCTTTCAGATTTTTCTCCACCCCCTCTCTCTCAACTCCAGTCTTTCTCCATGAATACAACCACAATTCTCCCAAATACAGATCGAAATGGGAATGAGAGAGAAAAATTGAGGAAAGCATTGTAATGCCAGAAAATTATTTGCTGCTCGGATCGAAACGTGAGGATTCTAGGGTTCTGCGTCTTCCTCTTCTCTTCAGA